AACATCCTCGTTCTATCCCAAAAAAGACAAACATTACATATACAAAGAAAATTAATTAGGGTAGCATGGCCGCAGTTTAACACCACCCGTAGATTGATTCAGGTCTAGGGAGCGGATGTACGGAGTAAGTTAAGGAGCGCAGGTGGGGTGTCGTTTGCGAGGTTTGCCACCGAGGAAGGAAGAGAGAGAGCAGCACCGGTCCGGGTGCGGGAGAGGCTGTGGGATTTTAGGCAGAGCAGTATAGCTCTTTAATAGACTCATAAACTCGGAAACAAGTTTTTGATGTCCGGTGGAATAGTACCAACCCAAAACCCAGCCAAGGAACCTATGGTGAGGGAAAGTAGACACCTTCACCAACCCTACGCCCCGGGAGCCGCCAGCCCTGCCCCCTACCTCTACCCATCTATACTCCGGAAAGCCCTGCGATCCGGCGTTCCGGTAATCAAGGAGATAATTCCAGCCGTGCGGTGATCCTAGGGCGCTTGTGGTGTCTGTGATACAAAAGGCATCACATCTACTGGTATAGTAATCGAAGAGGTGTTCAGCCAACGGCCGCCCACTGAACGGAGATCCCCGGGAGAAAACAATCCAATTCAAGTCCAGTATGTCAATGATTACTCTGCGAGATTCTGACAACGGTGCATTAGACAAAATCCGAGGGGAGGGGCCGGTTGTGTGCACTGGTTAGCGATGATTAATGGTGAAAAAAAGTGAGGGTTATGTGGGTGGCTTATAGTTTTGCATGATGCATCGTGTGTAGACAAAATTAGGGCGCGCATCCCAAGCTCTGGGATGTTGGGAAGGTGTTTTTTGACGGGTTCTGAGAATCTGTGGGTATGATGAATCAGCATATTCGGTGTAAGGATTAGCAGTAAATTTTAGGAGGTGGTTATGGTGAATTGGGGACGGAGTTCTTACCTGTACTTGAATAGCAAAGTTACTCACATACAACGGTAAAAGGCCCGGCACCTAGGAAGTAGACTTTATTCTCTATCTATACACACTACCTTAATCCACCCCAACTACTCCGGGGTGACAAAACTAGGTACAGTACCTAGTTCCCGCCGAAGAAGCACAGGTCTCAACTTCTGGGCTATTCACCAATCTCCAGGATCTAGAGAAACATGAGTTATCATTCGACTTCTAATTCCTCCCAGCACATAGCCAGATATTTAATGTCTACAGTATGTACTTGTACGAGGCATGCAGCCTAGGTCTTTGTGACGTGCTCTCGGCCCTGCATAATCTCGGTGTGGCGGTAAGACCGCTGGAAAACCATCCGATGACTTCGGAAAACCGGAGTAAGATTCCACAAAACATCCGTATTGTAGCTTAATTGAAGGGGGAGTTCGGTGGGCTACATTATCGCTTCGGGGAAAGCATCCGGAGCATGCAAGAAGACTTTCTAGCGTTAGGGAAGGATACCGGCAGCTTGACCACCTGGGTAGAGATTCAGGAGAACTTGATAAAGATCGGTATGACCAGAGATTGGCTCAATGGATTATGGGGTAAGAGAGGGACATATTATCTCCTATTAACAGCAAAATTGTTAAGATAGCCGAGGCACAAAATGGGGCTGTTCTACTAGTCGCATGGTTGGAAAGGGACATCTAAATATTGATAGGAGGTCCGATCCGTAGGGAACAATTCGGTTTCGGGAATGTGGGGGGGCGAGCCAACACGCTAGAGCGTAGAAACAAGGAATTGTCTAAGGCTATAGAAACACTCCTAGCCATACCGGAGGCGGGGTGCGAGAAAAGCCAAGGGTTTGCGGGCATGCCGTTTCAGGGGGGGAAACCAGCCTCGGCATGATTTTGACCTGAGATGTTCTTTCCATGCTTCCCTGTTTTCTTTCCCTCCCATCGAACCGACTAATGTGCATGCAAACCTCATAAGGGCCGTACAAAAGGGTGAAAATTTCCCAGGGTATCCCCCGAGAGGGCGGGCATTGGTTGCCCCACGAAGGGGTTGGTTTACGAAACGGAAAATCTGCTCTGAGCCCGAGTTGGGATATTCCATTTATCCTGGTTGTGGCCTTCTTCCTTCCTTCCTTCGCTCAAATGTATGTGCATGCGCGCATACCAATAACCCCGGGATTCCACAACTAACAAATGCCATTTCCCTCAGAAAAATCTAGACAAAACTACACAAGACCTCCGGTTCACAGTATCTCGCTATGTAGATGACCTCCAATGGAATTTGGTGCCCCCTGGCTGGACATTTCCCGGAGTCATTTTCAAGCTATGGGCGATCACTGCGGTGCGCTATGTTGCTTCCATCTGTCTTGGTAAAGGTTACCTTTTTTTTTTTTCCTTGGGCAGCAGTACGTTGAAGTTTTTACAAAAGATGCTGAGATTGTTTTGGGTAGTTCCACCGTCCTGCTCTAAGCGAGGTCAGACGGAGCGTATGACAAAGCTCGAGCCGATCGCGTAGAATGAGGGGTTGTGAGGGTACAGTATTTTATGGCACCCAAAGCGGGCACCAAAGGATGGAGCGGTGAGAGTGTAATCACGGCAGGCTATGGGCTCAACTGGACGTGGAAGGCGGTGAACTCGACGATCGATGTTCTGTCCTAGCTAAGGATTGTTGTAATGGTGGCTGCTATCAGAATGCGCAGTGGTAAGGGAATGGAATAGTAAGGAGAATGCTAGTGTCTGTGGGATAACAAAGAAAGACGCATACTTCATCGCTTACTCTTTTTCTCTAGCTAATCGGTAATGACAGATGCACAAGGAAAAAATTATCAAAGCAATCTGATCTCTCCATGAATCACTACACCCATCTCTAACATTCCATCCATGTCCAAACTCCTCTGTCCACGCCCGTGATAACAAAGGAAAGACATATCTCTAGAATCCGCTTCCAGCCTTCAAACAAAACTATCATACGAGTACTGCCAAATACTGAAACACTCCCACAACTTCTGTAAACAACCTTGTCCTTCCATCGCACTTCCTGTGTCTTCCATGACCAACCACAACATACTATCTCTCGTGAGTTCAACAAGGATAAACTAAACTACGCGATATATTTCTCTGTATAGCAAAAAACACATATACGGAACGAAACACGCAGCGAACTGTAAAGAAGCACATTCTTTGGGGGGGGCGGTCGTTTATTACACCATGAAAAATAGGGACCTGCGTCTAAAATGCAATGATGTGCTACGGTAAGGGGGGTGTCCTACAATGACTCGCCGGGTTTCTGGGCTATGACCTCCACCAGGGCATCAATATCTCGGGAAAGTGCACTTTTTTCAAGCAGTTCTAGCTGTGCCAAACACCCGTTTTTGCGACTCTTCTGAGGTGCAGTATTAATAGATTCAAAGTCTAGAAGAATGATTCATTCTCTGGCTGGCGGGCGGGGGAGGATTGCCGCGCGAAAGAAGTCGTACCGGTAGTTTAGAAACTTCACCCCTGTCGTGGTATATCACGGTAATTTAAGCTTAACCCCCTATTTTTCATGGGATAACGAACGATCGCTCCTTTAAAGCACCGGTACAGCGGAAGACAAAACCATCCCCCGATCCTCCGTGGCCCTAACCTATCCAGAACAATCTGGACCGCTGGAGCCAATACCGATATGCTACTTGTATACTCAGCTGAAATGGAGACCAAAGCGACAAACCACCAGGTGCATACCGTGAGACCGACCACGACACATCAAGCCACAAGCCTTGTAACCCCATATCTCCTGACCGCGTGGCCGGTGGGCAATCCAACATGTATGAGGGGTGTACTCGTATGACAGAGGGCGCATTTTGCATCCCGGAGGGGGAATACAGTGGGATCGGGAATCGGGGTGATACGGTACTTGTGCAGTACGGTACTCGAGTACCGTACTCGGGTACACGGTACACTACACAAACTAATCACTAGCACAGACGATTCAAACGCACGATACAGCAGCACCGGCAGTGCACTAGTACGGCACATTAGTGGAACACGGGCCCCAACATCCGATAACCCCGAAGCAGCACTCCTAGATATTCGCATGCAGCCGATTTACCGGTACTCGTACCCCCCTCCAGTATCATAACTTCCCTGAACATCTTCGAGTGACCGCCACCGGTTTCGGATCCTTTTACAGACGCGCCCGGCACCTAGGGTACCAGTTCCACCACAGTAGAGAATACCACTCGATCCCGAACCAATTACCCCCGGCTGGAATCATACATCATTGTAAGCTACACAGTACCAACGGTACCCGGTGGGACGATGATAGACAAAAAAGGAGCCAGAACTCGGCTTTTGGCACTAGCGGGAAGGCGCGGATCCTGGAGGTTTGCTTACTAATTTGATAAAACAGGAAATGAGAATCATTTTTGGCATGGGTTGTGAGACAGGGGGCTATCCAGCTTACTTGCAACTGGTGTCTACCGTCACTGTGCCACGCTCGGGACGGGCTCACCACTTCGTGTAGAATGTTAAATTCATTCCTAAGCCAACATACCGGTATCGGATACCTGCAGTGCCAGTATTACTATTATCCCGACTCACACGGCGCCATATACCACACATATCTCTATTTTCCATATTCGGCTTTTATCTATTCGGGGGGTAGGCTTGAATTCTGGTCACGTGAGGAATATCCCCCCTTTTGTCTACTTTCTTACGACCTCGAAATAGCGTCCGTGTGATAAGTTATTAGTGTGTTTTTACTTATCTTACCTTCTGACGGCCAGGGCAGTGGATCACGACCTGGGTATCATAAATTTTTTTGATCATGCGGTAGATCGGGCGGCCTGGTGCCTTTGGTGGTTGTCCGGTTGACTCGAAGGGTATTGGCATGGTTACGACCGTTAGCTGGTCATGTCTTGATCGGGTTGGGGACAGGGCGTGAGGGAAGCAGATATATAAAGGGCGAGATACCCCCGAGCATCGCTTCTCGGCTTCGTTCGTTTATTTTTCTCTTTTCTGTTATTGGAGAGGTCTGAGATCGATGTCTTTGGTGACTGCTGACACGATTACAAATCCCGAATGCCAAGGTCGAGTGCAAAGACATGATCAGTGCTTATGCCTCACCCCCGAGGGCCCATTGCCGAATTGGATAGTATTGGAATGTAATCATCTCCCCATCCCCCACACTCTCATAACGATTTTTGGGCTAGATATTTAACTGGTACCCTTGGGCACCTCCCTTCGAACCACAATGCCACACAACTACATTCCCCCGGCCCGAACCAGAATGTCGCTCGAGATCGAAGGCACGGGAATACAGTTACACATCATGTCACTACTACTCTTACCAAATGAACTTCTGCTCCAGATTTCGGATGGGTTGAAAGGGGATTTGCGGGACTTGAGCGCGCTCGTGCGTGCAAACCGCCGGTTGGCGAGGCTGCTGGCGGGCACTCTGATAGATCATGTGTTTAGTACACGGTCAAAGACGTACGGAGAGCGAGCACTATACTCCGCTGCGCGACGGGGGGATGCTATTACCGTCGGGTCACTTCTAGATCGCGGCATACTCGGCTTCATATGTGGTCAGCCGGGGAAAGAAGAGTACTTCCTCCACACTGCTGTCCAAACAGAGTCGCTCGATACCATCCGCACGCTCCTGGCCTGCGGCCTTCCGCCATCCGTACGAGCCAAGTATGGGAAAACCCCCCTCTCCATAGCCGCCGAAACTGGAAATCTCGGTGCTGTAGGAGCGCTCCTTGAGAGCGCCCAAGTGGAAGTTAACACAAAGGATACGTGGGGTAGAACACCACTCTGGCTTGCGGCGTGGAAGGGATACTCAAGCGTTGTCAGGGCGTTACTCGGCAGACCAGAAGTTGAGGCAAACTCTCAACAGAGAAACACTGACTTCAACCGACATGAAACACCGCTTGCCATTGCTTGTCGCTGTGGGCACGTATCCGTTGTGCGGGAATTACTAGCAGACAAGAGGGTCAACGTTAATGCCCGCGATGGTGCAGGCTTCACACCTATCCATCTTTCCGTCACAAACTCCTGCAGCGATATCCTACGTCTGCTCCTCGCCCACCCATCCATAGATGCCCTCATCCCGTGTGCGAGCGGGCGCACCCCCCTACATACAGCCGCAGAGCTCGGGAATCTAGATGCCTTCACCCAATTCCTCCTCCATCCGCAAATTACCGATTTGAATATCCTGGCGGCAGATTATTGGGCACCGCTTGGCCTTGCAGCATGGAATGGCCGAGAGGGTATTGTGAGGGCTCTCCTGAAAGACGGAAGAGTGAACGTTAACCTGATTGTGGGAGCGGGGCAGACGGCTCTTTACCTTGCGGCAAGGAGGATGTGGTTGCGGGTTGTGGGGGAATTGCTTGAGGCTGAGGAGGTAGATGTGTACAAGCGGGGGGCGGAGGGTGGGATGTCGTTCGCAGAGTTTGTAGAGGGAGGGAATGACTCGCGGATGAAGGAGTTGTTGAGGGGGAAGGTGGAAAGTGAGCGGCACTGAATTTAAGTGTAAGAAAGGTGATGAAACGCTAGGGAGAGTAGTATAGCTTTCTAATAAGTTCATAAATTTTAAAATATATTGCCTAGAGTAGTTATACTAAACCAAAATCATCAACCAGGAACTATATTACCGAGAAGACATGCCTGTAACACTCCTTACCAACTTTGTGACTCCGGGCACTTGTTCAAAAATTCAACCCCCCATCCATTCACATCTTGAAAGGGTTTCCACGGTTTATCATTCTCACTGACTGTGAAAGGAAATTCCTGTCATCTAGTAGGGTTCGAGCCCATATATCGTGCGTGGCACAGGGGGCACCTCATCCAGTGCCCCCAGTCGTCCGGTGGGGGTGCCGTCGGCTGCAGTTGACTAAAATCGGTCAATGCACCAAGCGAAACACACACTACCGGTAGTACTGAATACCAAAACAGAGGGTCTACTCAGCCACTACCAGGCCACATGAGGTTGAGCATGACAACTACGTGTACTGTAGTTTTTTTTGTTTTTTTTGTTAAATCCTTTGATTGTTTGAGGGTACAATCTCTGTATACAACCGCTAGGTTAGGACATAAAAACCTCAGAGCACACAACATAACATAAGAAATTCATCAAATAGACAACAAACTAATAGCAATAACCAATTTGGGGCACCTTGGCCCAGCCAACCATCTCAAACTTCGCAACCTAGGAAAGCAACTGCAACATTCTCGTAAACGGGTTGTCCCCCTTCACTGGAAAATTAACCTTATGCCTAGAGACCAAAATTCACGAAATCATTCATAAACCTGACCTCCTCCTCCTTGAATCCAAACAGCACTGAGTCCTCACTAAAATCACGTACCTCCGCCCCTAGGGTCATCCATGTCCCTTCAATCACTGGGCACCTATGCATTACATGTTCCAGCATATCTTGTTTTAATTTGCACTGCCTACGGGTATGGTCTTCATCCCTAGTTTCCCAATCCTGCTGACCTGCAAGATAGCTCTTTCCAACCTTCATCTGATGTATTCAGCCTGCTAGGAACTTTGGCTTGTTCATGTGTATCCGGCATGAATGATACGGTGGTCTCCATTTATAGTGCTTCGGATATGGGCCGGCACACCAAAGTTGATATACCTCATGACACACCCTAACTACACCATCCCAGTACCTCTCATTGATCTGGCCCGAGGTGCGATAGAAGGGGTGGGGTTTCAGCGGCAGGAACCAATCACCAAACGCCCTCTCGCCATGGCTGCACAGCGGTCGATTGGGAGGTATATAACAACTACTGTAAGTAGTATGGTAGCAGATTATACTATTAGTGGCCTGAGTATAGTCCGACGGCCGTCCGCCCCGTCTAGGTGGCGCCAAGGTCATCTAGTCCGTCAAAAAATGAGACATTTCCGTCCCCTGGCGCCCTCACCCCGTCTTGAACGGACTGGACGGCTAGAAGCACCGACTACATCTACCGGCAGAGCAATCGGGGGGCACTGCGCCGCCGCCACACGCTGACCGGAGGTCACCGGCAAGGGCTAACTCAATTCAGCTTTAGCATGTCAATGAACGCACTACAAGATTCCGTCAACGGCTGATTTGGTAAAGCTTCAGATAATGGCAGCGCAGAGATGGGTGCGATGAGGTCCCGGATTTGGGTATGACTCCTCCGGTTCCATGCAACGTGCCGGGGATTGCATGCAGTTGCTATGGTAGACTGATGAGGTAATGTTAAAGTAGAATGGGGACAGGAAGGGCGGTTCCCCGCGGTGGAGGAGCGGGGAGGTGAGTTTGTCATGGGCACATCGTGTGTATGCGACACTGGCCAGTATAGAAAACAGTTGACATCATTTCCGTTATTACAAGACTAAAATCACTACCAGAAGAGTGGGGACGTTGGACAGGTAAATCTTTGTGGGACCCGGGAGCATGCGGGGCGGGTTGATACCGGTATACTAACGGCGAGACTTATTGGTGGAACTTACGAGGGGTATAGAGGCTGGGGGATGTCTTTCGTACTCATGCTTCGCACCCGCAGCCGCACTCGCAGGTGAAATCCTTGGTATCAAGGGGGAGAGCTTGAACCTCTATACAGATTATCGTGAAATCCGCTCCAATATACTCTAAGACATCAGGGCGAGGTAGGTGGTCCCACTAAAGAACCGGAGGTCCCGACTCCCAGTTTATGAACGTAATCACTAAGATGTGGGGGAGGCATGGGATAATATTCGTCTTTCTATTCACCCAATCAGGGGATAAAGTACTGGTGGATGTGTACTCGGGCGTAAGGCTGTTTCGCCTCCGGTGATACTAACCCTCCCCCAGCGTTTTTACTCCAGAATCGCCATTTCTCCTTCCGGAAGTGGACCGACTTTTGTGTGGAGCCACCAATGTGTGTGTAGCCACCAAAAACTTCTCACATATTATCACTCGAATTTCCTAGCCTGGTTTGGCCTACATACCAATCTGACATTTTGTAAGAGGTAGACGCCGCTTTTTCTTACTCCCGAGCACGGAACACAGGTGGGAATTGGAAGGACTTTATAGAGGCTCCCGGGTGGGTTTATAAAGAGGAGCCAATGCACAAAATGGGGCAGGCGGGACGCCCCTTAGTCCTGCCCTTTGGTTGTTCAACGCGGTGGGAGGTTGCTCTTACTAGTATCCCCATAGTCGGTGCTTGCTAGTTATGAGGGCGGCATTTCTATCCGGCACTAAGGGTCATTGCTCGTATCCTTTCGCCCCCGGACTTGGATTCACTTCTTCATGTTAAAAGCCGTTTTTCTTTAATTCTTAGCTTATGGTGCTAAAGGATTATACTGTATCAAGGCAGAACAAGATTTTTTTTCCTCATTTCCCGAATATTGGGGGGAGCAGCACAATCTTCCATGATGTGTTGTTCGTTATAGATACGCTCGGTAGGGTTGTAGGGGCCCCGAAAGCGATCCGCTAACCTAGAAAATCCACTTTAGAGACTGCAAAAGGTCGAAAGTGCAGTGACAGTGAGGGACGGGCTAGGCAGGTTATGTTCTCACTCCAAGGTGTAAGAGAGAGGGTTTCGGGCCTTGTGTGCCGGCTGGAAGTGGTGGGCCCGGAGTACGCAGGTGAACAGAGGGGTTTCGAATGCGAACCTAATAGAATGTCGGAGAGACAAGAGGCCGCCGGGATGGGGGTTGAAGCCCCGGATAAGGTTTGTCAGGAATTGAAAGAGCGCGTCCTGGGCAAGCAGGAGGACTCCCTGGCTTGTAGGAGGAATATTGGCGACTAGACTAGCCTGATAGAGACCTAAGGGCGAAGAGTGCTGAAGATCGGGGATTGCCTAGAATTGGCTCACTCGGTGATGGCGAACGGGAGGGATGGATTGTCTGCTACTGGGATGTGATCGCCGAGGCATAGAATGGGGTTCTGCGAATCGCGGGGCTGGAGAGGCTCGGGAATATGTGCTGGGTCGTCCAACATATAATCAGCGGTTGAATATTTCACCAAGGTAACGTAGGGAGCCAAGACCTAGAGAGCGTCGAAACGCAGAATTGTCTGATACTGTAGAAACACTAGCCGTGGTTTCCGGGGGGGCAGCTGCGATAAAAGCCACGGGTCAGCGAGATTCCTGATCTTGATCGTGGACGAAAATGAAAGAGATAGTTGAACCCGATGTATATTTTTCCATTCCTCCTTTCTTCCTACCATCCTGTGGAACCGGCTAATGGGCCTGGAGAACCCGCAACCCCCACACAAAAGGTAGAAACCCAGGAAGAGAGTCCCTCGGAAGCGCAGAAATCCTCATGTGAAAGATTAGCTTGGTGGGAGGAATAAATTTCTCCCATAAAACTGCTGAGGTATACGATTTATCCCGTTCATTCCTACCCTCCCCCCTCCCACCCCCCCTTAGCTGTCGAGATATATGCTGTAATGTATCATGCATAGGGCAAGCTCGGAATGCCTATGTATTCACACCTATTCGGGCCCAGGAAACGAGTTTTAAAAGGGTGAGTAGCAATTGAAATTTATTGAGGAGTGGAGAGGTGCCTATATCGATATAGGAATAATTGCATGAAAGGGAGGAAAGAGACTAAGTTAGTACTCTAGATTCATGCAGTATCATTGGAACAAGTTCAACCTCCGAGCACTATTCTACCTAGTGAAAAAACTTGGGATGGGGGAGTGCTTCTATTTGGAGATAATACATTTGCGTATAAATACACGCTTTTCTGATGATGGTAACTGTAGATGCTCACCTGATCACGAGACCAACCAACTCCCAATAGGGAAAGAAACCATGTGGTCCAAAAATCTAGCAATGGCTGGGACGGGTTACTCAATCATAATCATTGGAGTATCCGGCAGTGGTTAGAGCTCCCGCATCTTCTAGTATCTACGGGACGGGAACACTCCTAACTTTAGAGGCTTGAACATTAAAATTGGCCTAGTGAAATTACCGAAGGCCTAGTACTATAATAATACCAAGGCTAGAAAGAAGCCCCAACAGTTATTAAAGAGAGCTGAATTCGCCGGATCCGCCCTGGGAGTGTTTTCTCTGGAAAACACCCAGGTCTCACGTACCAGTTTCTGCAACCGGAGACCCCCCACTCTGGATGCAATACTTACTACCTTCTTAAGATTCTGTTGGAGTGGGTAATGTTACCAAGCCTAGGAATAGAGTATCTCTCGGCCATATGCCTGCTTCTTGCGTGGTACGAGCGATTTTATAGGGAGTGTCACCTCGCTGACCTTTTTGGTCTTTAGGATTGAGAAGGCTTCGCAGGCTTGATCTGCACCAAATACCCTTGGGAAGAAAACCCCTGGTAAGGTCGCATATTTAGCGCGCTTTTTCATTTTTCATTTTTCACTCAAAGTTAGCAGTTCTCTTAAGAGGTTAGCCCACCAGCCCTTAGAAACTTGGCGCATCATGAACCGGTGTGACTGCTCTCGTTTGTCATTGACTCTGGACTTTGTCTTATATCTCGGCCTTTAGTATTTACAAGAGGGCTGTTATACATTTCTCAGCCCAGGAGCTGCCGTCCAACTGGCTCTAACTTCCCCAAGTTGGATATGGTGGCCTTTTAGCCCCACAGTCGTGACTTCAAACAGCCGAGCCCGCTGGAAGCGCTAATTGATGGCGTGTTTAACAATTGGTGGTATCAGTCA